TCCCCTGCATCGGCAGGCGGACTCTCAATCACTGCGCCACCAGGGAAGCCCTTGACTCCCTTTTGAAACCTTGATGGGAGCCTTTGTCAAGCCTCCTACAGACACTGTTTCATAACTCTGCTTCCTCCAGGCCCCCCACCAACCCGCATTTTCAGATCATCCCCATCTCCAGCCCTCTGTTCGGGATCATCCTCATTTAAGAAGCCGTCCTGGATTCCCTCCACGGGAAGAAATTTCTCCTTCGTGTCCCCTCATTCTGTTACTTCTGAATGTCCACGCCCTCCCCACTTCGGCTCCCTGACCAGGTTGTTGTTGCCTGAGAGTCGGGTCGGGTGTGACCCGCAGTTACACGATCAAAAAGATGGAGGGGGCACCGAGGGGTCACACAGCTGTCCCTCACCCTGGGGGCTGATGTGCTCCAAGTCTGATTTTGTTCCTCTCAACTGTCTTTGAAAAGTGTCCTTGGCCTGTGGTATCCAAAGACTTCCTCCCAGTCACGTGAGACTCACTCTGGGAATGGGTGTGGGCCCAGATGTTCCCCCCACCTCCTGGGTCCCAGGAACTGCCTCGGGGGTGTCCGCCAGTTTATGTAACTGACTGAGGGATCCGGTTAGCCAGGGGTGAGTGGGAGGCTGCAGCAGGTCAGCATCTGGCTGCGGCTTGCCTGAACCCTGGCGGGGAGTTCAAGGTGGGCCTGCTGAGAGCAGTGACAAGGATTTGCTGCAAATTTCTGATGCAACCTCATGGCCCACTCCTGGGGGACGCGTTTCTACTGCATGAAAGCAACAGAATGCGAGTCAACTATGTGACCTACAATTTTCTGGTCCCGGTAAAAAATTTAAAAATAGCAGGTGGAATTAGTTTTAAATAATATATTTTAACCCCTTAGGTACAAAATATTGTCATTTCATCATGTAATCAACATGGTCGTTATAGAGGAGATCGCTATTCTCTTTTTGTTCTAAGACTTTAAAATGTGGGATGTCTTACACTCAGTTTGGGTCAGTGACGTTTCATGTTCCGGATAGTCCAGGCTGACGGGGCTCTGCTGATGCTTCTGTTGATTCTCCCACTTGAAGTTCCCTGAAAGCAGGGACAGCATCGTGATGATCAGGGCCTTTCCCCCACCCATCGCAGGTGTCGGCGCGTGTGATTTGAGTGGGAGCCTGTCCCACAGGGTCACCGCACGGGGAGGCTGGGCCTCGGAGCCGTTGGAGTCTGGTCACAGCTGCGTGAGCTCAGGGACGGCCCTGGCCTGTCGAAGCCACGGTTCCCACTCAGAATGATGCTGTTGGACAGTAATCTCCCGGGCTTTTCTGATTCTCACGTGCTGTGAGCTGAACCATGTGTCTGGGCAGGGGTGCTGCTGGAGACACTGATACCCTTGGCCTCATTAGCAAATGAGATCATCTCTGTGAAGGGCCACGGTCGACACTGTACCCAGCACGGACGGGCCAGTTCGCTGCCTCTAACTCTGACCCAGAGCCTGCGTGTTTATCTGGTATGTTGGGTCCCGGGCTGTGAAGACCCTCTACTCCCCCATCCAGCGTCTACACAGAGCTGCGGGTGCCCGGCCTGTTCCCAGGCTGCCCAGGCAGAGAAGGACAGGACTCGTCCAGGCCCTCGGGACGCCCACCTTCTGGAGGGTGTGATGAGCCAGCAGGAGCCCCTGCAGTGTCCGAGGCCTCATGAGGTTTCTCTCTCGCGCAGGCGCAGCTGGAAGCTCAGAGAGCCACGCAGGACTTCCAGAGGGCCACCGAGGTGCTCCGCGCTGCCAAGGAGACCATCTCCCTGGCCGAGCAGCGGCTGCTGGAGGATGACAAGCGGCAGTTTGACTCGGCCTGGCAGGAGATGCTGAACCACGCCACCCAGAGGGTATGAGTCTCAGCGGAGCGAGTCTGTGGGACCAGGGTTGGGCTGGGCTTGCGCCGGGGTGCGCGCCTCTGCCTTGAGCCTGCCTGTGGGCAGGGGCAGAGGGGAAGGCGGGACATGCGTCTACGTGTGGGCGTGGGGTGGGGAGAGGGGCTGGGCTTGCGTCCGCCTTGGTTTCCTGCGGCCTCGGGGTGCAGGTGCCCATCAGACCCAGACTCTCCGCTGGTTTCCCGGAGCAGAGGAAACAGACCCCCAGGCATGTTGTGCGTCACAGGTGGTCATCTCCATGGAGTCTCTGCGGGCCTGGGACTGAGCCGTACTCCGCGATGACAGTCACCCGGTGACAGGCGTACCTGCCCCTTCCCTGTCGTTTGAGGTTTGTTTGGTTCAGATCACCCCTGACGGTCCTGACTGTGGATGGGGCTTCCCTGAGGGACCCGATCGTTCTCCAGAGTCCCTTCCCTCTGAGTCCCAGGGGACTGGCTGGGTTTGGAGCCTGGGGTGGAGGACCTTGATTACTTGCTGAGCCTGGACTCAGGGGTGGGTGCCAGTTGGTGAGAAGCGGGGGCCATGGCAGATGAGGCCAGAATATAGGGGGTGCGCAGGCTGGCCTTCAGGCTGGGCTGGGGTCTGGGGAACCAGTGTATGCACAGGAAGTGGGCTTTGACTCCTAGGTTTGGTGCCATCATTGTTTGGCCCTTTACCAGCTCCCACGATCTGCCCTCTGGCCATATTGCTGAGAATCGGAAGTGGTGGGTACGGCTGGGCTTGTCACCTCTTTCCTCCCCTCCTCCAGCTGGTTTGCTGTGGGGAGGTGGGTGAGGCCTTGGATGAAGGGTGATGTAGGGGGTGGGAGCTAGTCTGGATTCCCTGAGAGGCCGCCTGCGGGGCTGGAAGAGAACCTTTTCAATGTCACCTGCCACGGTGGCTCAAGTCCTCGGGGACCTGATAATTAAAGATGGCCTTGTGCTTCCTTAAATGGAAGCCTGACATACAAACTGCTTGGACTTGGTGTCAAATGCGGGTCGACTCTGTAGCACTTCCCCTGAACCCCGGGCTCCTGGCCAGGCTTGTGTGGCCTGGGGTCTCCTGCCACCTAGTGAACACGATGCTGGGAGAGCCAAACACAGCTTTCCTGGGTCCACTGGGGAAACGCCAAAGGGGAGGTTGGAAATCTTGGAAATTTACAAGCCACAGCCTGACAGAGTGAAAAGGACAAGGAAAAAAAAAAAAATTAGAGTAGCTCCTTGCAAGAATTTAGCTGAAGGCCTGCCTTTCTTTCCTGCCCTTCTTCCACCCCAAACAAGATCCAAATCAAGCTAGTCAGAATCATTCAGAAATCACTTAATCTGTCCTTTAAAAAAGAACAAAATGGGTTTCTGCTTTTTTTTTTTTTTTTTTTCCTTCTACTCTTTAAGTCCTGGGACCATAGTGGATGGTGAGTGGAAGTCCGGGAGAGGTGTCCTCAAGACCTCCACATCCCATGACTCCAGAAGCACCATTCACACCAGTCTTTGGGAATGGTGCTTCTTGGGGTTGTGCAGTGTGCAACTTGTGGGGCTGTACCAAACGGCCCTGGGCCTCCTGACGTCGCGTGGGGCCCCTGAGGTCCCGGGGAGGGTCATCTGATGTGTGCTCTCACTGAGGTCACTGAAGGTTTCTTGGTCATGGGGGTGTGACCCCTGCGGATGAGCAGATTTTCTGGGTCACAGGCCAGGATTTCCACCCTGGGGCTGCTGTTCCTCTTCCCTAGATTCCTCCCCAGTTTTATGGGCCTCAGATGCTGCTCCTTGACCTGATGAGGGGGAAGGAGAGTTGGAAACTGACACCAGCGAGAGACAGAGCCCTTGGCAGAGCTGTCCTCGACCATGTCCCCGTGTCACTGAGAAATCCAGCCTGGAGGGGGCACACTCCAGGGATGTGACGGATGGTACAGGCGCTCACGTGCGGCTTTGCTGTGAGCCGCGCTCTGAGCATGCTCCCGGGGCCATGCGGGCCTGGCGCGCTCGGCTTCCTGAGTGCTGCCGGACAAAGACAGTGAACGGCCTGGAATATGTCCCCGGCCTTGGCTGACTTCGGGATCCTCCGGGAAGCCTGTTTCTTCAGGAGGAGGGAGCGTCACCTCATCCTCTTCTCCTGAAGAAACTGCCACGTAAGAGTCGAGAGAAAGATGCAGAGCTCGGAAAGGTCCAGGCTGTCTTGAGGAAGTGGCAGTGCTTTGGGCTGTGTGACCTCCACCCCAGGCACAGTGGAAGGACCCTGGGGTCCCCGCATTCCTTACCTGAGGCCATCCGTGTGTCCCTTCTCTTCCTTCAGACTTAGGGTGACAGCGGGCAGCCCCACTTGGAGCCACGCTGGAGCCCCGGGGTCTCTCTTGTTAGGCCACATGCAGTGCCCCGGGCAGGGGCAGAGGAACAGTTCTGCACTCAGAGCTGGGATCAGCAGGGCTTTGGAAGCCGCGACGCACTTGAGTGGCCTCCCTGGGGACGTGGCATCCCTGCTGCTCCCATGTGGGCTTTAGAGAGCTGAGGCCCCTCCAGCTTCACCCGGTTTGGCGGCGGAGCAGCCCTTCTAGGGAGGAGGTGTGGGGAGGCATGAACTGTCAGAGACCAGCAGCTCCTGGAGAGGAAGGCCCTGGGGGCGTGGATCTGAGCCCTGGGATGCACACGGCCAGCTTTTCTGTGCTGGTGGGCATGTACCACCTGTCCCCCAAGGCCCTGGGAAGCTACCTTCTTGGCCCTGTGCACTCAGGGCTGCAGGAGGGATCAGAAATCAGCCTGAATGGGCCAAAGATATGAGGAGACCGTGAAGACACCTTCCCGGGAGCGGAGGACCCTGCTCTTAGCTCCCGATGTTGGGCATGTTGGGCATGAGGGTGGATGGCCTCGAGGTTGGGAGAGCTGAATGTGAGGCAGAGGAGCCGGGCTGGCTGGACGTCTCCTGGTCGGCTGAGCTCATTCTGCCGGTAGGGGACCCAGCCTGGCTGCCAGTGCCCGTTGGTGTCCCTGTTGGAAGTATCTGTTTGAGCATCTTCTGTGTGTTGCCGTGAGCAGAGGGCCTGGGCTGCCCTGCGGCTCCCAGGAGGGGGCCCGTCAGCACTGCAGGGCCCCATTCTGTCTATTCTGCTGACCCAGGGGGAGGCCTGTGGCTTCTCAGGGTCCCGAGCACCAGTGGTGGCTTCCCCACATGCTTTCTCCAGGGCCCGCTACCTGCTGCCTGCCTGGGCCGTGGTGCTGCGGCTGTTCTGGTCACTCAGGCCTCACACCTGGGGCCTCAAAGCCTCCCATTGGGCAGCAGCAGGTGGTCAATCCTTGGGCGTTTGGAGCCGGCCCGGGGGTGGGGGGCAGGAGCGTGTGTCTGTGGGTTTTGGGAGCCCCAGGGATGCTGACTTCTTAGTCATTAGAATCCGCAGAGGCCAGTGCACCCAGAGGTTAGCACAGAGCCCGTGGGTCAGCCCCGGGACATGGTCCCCCTGGGGAAGAGGGGCCCAGGGCTGTTGGTGCCCAGACAGTGATTCCTCCAGGAGCCTGCCAGCTCTGGGGAAGGAGGCGGGAAGCTGAGCGCTGCCCGCGGAGAGTGGACGGGTGGCTCTGCTAAGCACCCCCAGCCCTAAGTGCTTCCCCGCCCACGCCCTTTTCCCCAGCACCCCGCACCGAGCCCCCCAGCACAGCCTCTGCTGCCGGCCCCCACCCATGCCCCTGGGCCTGGTGGCCCCGACAGCCTGGATCCCAGCTGCCCGAGTAGCGCGGTGCTGCTGGGCATCTGCCCCGTGAGGCTGGCGGTCCGGGTTTGGTCTCCAGTGTGCTCTGTGCACACAGTAGGTGCTTATTCAGAGTACGCAGCTCTGAGTTGAATATGCTGGTGGTAAACTGAAGAGTGTGGTGCTGATCGGGGGCTCAGAGGCCCAGAGTCCAGGCCAAGTATCTGTCAGCCCAGCCTTCGCGGAGGTCTGGGTGCTGGCGCTCCAGGGCTGGGTCGCACGTGCGGTCTGGCCACCTTGAGGTCTGCAGGGACATCTGCGTCGTGCTTCTGTTTGTGGCTTCCACCTTCCCAGCATCTGCCCTTATCCCCACATTCCTTTCCCACCCCTGGGCACACAGTTCACAGCTGGTTCCATGTTTCAGGGGCTGCTTGGTTACCTAGGAGACGTAACCAAGGTGACCTGCTTGGGGACTTTCTCCCTAGAGGCGGGAAGCGGAGTGGGGACTCTCCTCCCAGAGCAGGGGGTTATGTGCACCTGGGGTCGGGGGTGGGGGTTGGGACGGGGGATGGTAGATGGCCTGGTGGGGGTGAATCGGGACGGCGTCCTTGCTGCTGCCTCAGTCTGCGCTGGCAATGTCGCCAAGTGCTGGGAGCCTTCCGAGTGTTTAATTTTAGGAAGATTTTTGCAGACGAAGGGCCAAGGAAGAACAAGGGCCTGTGTGCAGTCGGTGAGAGCCCTGCTTCTTGCAGGGAATGCTCTGTATTGTAGCCTCAGGTCACAGCTTTTGTAGATGGTCTATTTAAAATGCTTTCAGACTGGCCCTTAAAGGTGAACCCTGCATTGAATCCTCTTGCAGTGGAACAGATCACCACAATAGGTTGCCTTCATCTGTCTGATATGCTTGGGTTTTGCGTGTTCATAAAGGTTACACCAGTGAATCCCTAAAGCTTAAGATTTAAGACAAGACTGAAGAGTCACTACCGTTTCCCTAAGTGACCAAGCTGGGGAGGTTTTGAGTGCGTTTTATGTCACTGTGACATCTTTGGTGTTAGAAGCCAAGGGGAAGGGTCCTCCGGAGTTCCTTGGTCTTGATTGAGAGGTCATTTTAGCAAGCCTGTCACCACATGCCAGCTTGTCTCACTTCCCTATTTCCATTCTCTGACTTTGTTTTAATTCTGTTTTTAAAAGTATCTCAAGCATTAAAACCATTGTTAAAAACAAAAAACAGAAAACACAAAAAACCATTGTTAAAAGATATACATTTTAAAGAAGGTAAAGGGTGAACTCTGATAAGTATAAAGTGTTCTCCTGTCAAAGATTTTATTTAACTCATTAAGGATGGAACTAATAAGATGTTACAGCTCTTTCAAAGGAGAATTCAAAAAGCACACTCATACAGGAGTGTAGGAATGCTGAAATGAATTTACAAGATACAGAATCGGTCAATATTTAACAGGGCAATCAATAATCAAATGCATCTCTACTGGACACATTTCTAGGGGTAAGAATCATTTATATCATCAGTTTTCCCCAACTTACAGGGTCATAAAATAGCTCCAAGACAATGAAAGGCAGACATAACCTGGAAGGGGGCAGGACACCCAGACAGGACAGGACACCCAGTCGTTTTATGCTCATATCAAAGTCTTTCAGAATTTTTCCTGACACTTAAAAAAGCCCTTATTATAACTGCATAAGTAAACTTCCCCGGGCTGACTGTGGCTGTTGCCTGGAGGGGGTGATGGACCGCTGGCTTCCTCCTGGGTGGTGTCCTCCTGCAACTGTCCTGCTGGGTCTCCTCCCTGCTGTTCTTTGGGTAAAATAAAGCATGGCCCTCTCGCCCCACCTCACTGCTGCCTTTCCAGTTCATCCCATAACACTTGGGTGAGTTGTAAGTAAAAGATGAGAAGGAAGTTGTGAGCCGCTGATGTGGCCTAAACTGCTGTTTATCTCCTGCATCATCTCTCCTCCCAGCTGGCCTTGTTCTGATGCTTTTTAGGTGATGGGGGAAGAGAACCAGCACTCCCTGTTTCTAGGAATGTGCCTTTGAGCTGCCATGGAGGGCCTTTGATTATTGGGTTTTGAACTCATGGTTTTTTTTTTTTTTTTTTTTTTTTTTGAGGTACGCGGGCCTCTCACTGTTGTGGCCTCTCCCTTTGTGGAGCACAGGCTCCGGACGCGCAGGCTCAGCGGCCATGGCTCATGGGCCCAGCCGCTCCGCGGCATGTGGGATCTTCCCGGACTGGGGCACAAACCCGTGTCCCCTGCATCAGCAGGCGGACTCTCACCCACTGCGCCACCAGGGAAGCCCCCTTGAACTCATTTTTAAAACCAGAATCTCCCACCAGAACGCTGACTGGTCACCTGGTCACAAATTTTTGTAAACCCCAAAATCTTGTTCAGTTTGACCCTCTGGATCCTGGATTCTTGTCCACCAGCTAACTCTGGATATTTGGGAAGGGGCCAAACAGCTGAGGTCACCATTGCCTTGCCGTCCTGACGCGCACATACCTGGCTTTGTAGGGCTCCCAGGTCCCTGACGTCTGAGTTCCCACTGGTACCGCCTGCCTGCCCCTCAGTCCCTGACCCCAGGTGAGAACAGGAGGAACCCACGGTGGCTACTCAGAGGAAGTGGACGTCAACTGAATCAGAGAATGTTTCTTTTTTTTTTTCCCTCTGCGTTTTTGTTTTTCCTTCTCATTGCCTCAGCTGATCTATTTCATCTAATCTGATGTGATTTTTCCAGAATAGATGAATAGGGAAAAAGAATCCTGTTCTCTTTGGAAGTTCATTGAATCTTAGTCTGCCCACTAATTTCCTCAAATAATTTTTTTTCATTTATTTCAAAAAAATTGTATTGAAGTATAGTTGATTTACAATGTTGTGATAGTTTCAGGTGTACAGCACAGTGATTCAGTTTTATATATATACATATATATTCTTTTCCCTTATAGGTTATTACAAGATACTGAGTTTAGTTCCCTGTGCTCTACAGTAGGTCCTTGTTTATCTACATTAGATATAGTAGTGTGTATATGGGAATCCCAAATTCCTAGTTTTTTAAAATGACATAAGTAATACCCCAACAAGGGACCATTCTGGGTTTGGCCGGGCTGACCTCTGCTGTCATTTGAAGGTCATGGAGGCGGAGCAGACCAAGACGAGGAGCGAGCTGGTGCATAAGGAGACGGCAGCCAGGTACAATGCGGCCATGGGCCGCATGCGGCAGCTGGAGAAGAAACTCAAGCGAGCCATCAACAAGTCCAAGTGAGCCTGGGCAAGTGGGTCCCCGGGCTGCTGCTCGTTTCCTCTTCCTCATCTTCTCAACCTTTTCTGTGGCCCGCTCCACCAGAGCCCCCTGCCCAGGCTACCTGTAACCCCCCAGGGGTGGGGCTGCTCTGACCTGGGAGCACAGGAAGAGGAATTTCAAGAGCAAACCATTAGCTGGCCCGTGGGCTGGGGCTGGGCTTTGGGAAACTCAGGGCATGCCCTTGGCTCTGTGGCTGATGGTGTGGATGAGGCCCTGTCCCTCATTACCTGTCAGCACAATGGGGTGAACCATGTACATAGTAACACATCCTTGTAGACCAAGAGCTGATGAAAGGAGCAAGACTGGTTTCTTTTTTCTTCCTTCCTCCCTTCCTTCCCTTCCTCCCTCCCTCCCTTCTTTTCTTCCTTCCTTTCTTTTTCTTTCTTTCTTCCTTTCTTCCTCCCTCCCTCCCTCTCTCTCTCCCTCCCTCCCTCTCTCTCTCTCTCTCTCTCTCTCTCTCTCTCTTTCTTTCTTTTCACAGGATATTTATTTCAAAAGTTTCTTATAATGTTACCAAGTCCAAGCTCACTCTGCTCACCACACGACAGGCCAATAAATTGGGAGATGAGGTGTTGAGGCAAGGAGTACGACTTTATTCAGAAAGCCGGCAGACTGAGAAGATGGAAGACTGGTGTCCCCACAAACCATCTTTTCGGGGTCTGGATGCCAGTTTCTTTTATAGAACAGAGAGGGGCAGGAAATGAGGAAGTAAAAAGGCCATTAGTTGTGCCTGGCTTGGCCAGCATCAGGGAGGGGTTGTGTTAATTTCTTCTTTTCTGCCGCCATTCTCAGGTGGGCAGGGTCAGATTGTCTCCCTGTGAGCTGAACAAAGGTACTTTAATATTCAGGCAGAGGGGCAGGGTTTCCTGAGGCAGGCCATTATGTATGATTATAATAACGAAAGCAATGAAAAGCAAAGGTTAAAGTCAAAGAAACAGATCCAACCTGGGGTCAGATTTTGCTCTTCCCTGTTATAATTATACCAAACACTAGGAACAGTTAATTTGTCCAACAGTATAGTCTTTGGTTAAATAACTGTTGACACTTCCAAACACTGGAATAGTTTAGAGCAGTTAAAATAATGACATGGATTCTGTCTTCATTAGTATATAAATATGTTCATAATATTTATATGTAATAAAGGTAGGCCATAAAACGGCACTGAAAGCACAATTCATCTTATTACTGATACACACAGATGAGCCCAAAGGAGTTTTTTTTTTTAATGTATATATTTTTTATTCAAGTATAGTTGATTTACAGTGTTGGGAAGACTGGTTTCAATGGAGGTTTTCTTCCACTTTTCTCACTACCACTCTTATATGTTGTCATACGACAGTGATCCTGGGGACTAGCCCCGGCTTCACTCACAGTTGCTGGGCCTCCAAGCAAAGAGACAGGACCTGGAATGGCCTAGACCCCACAGCCAGAGACAGACCCTGAGCTCATGGAGGGTGAAGGGCTCAAGAATAAAGTATTGTCAACTCCTCATGCTCAGACACCCAAGTTCCTGAAAGAGCCAGCATCTTCCCACTGACCCAGAACCCACGACCCGTAGAACGTTGGCCTTTCTTGTCCTCTCTCTTGCCCGTGAGCTGGCTGGGTCAGCACGCTGTCCAGTCCCCCGAGTCCTGCACAGAGTCCAAGAGGCCGACCTGAGCCCCTGTCCCTGTGGCGGCCCCGCTGTGCTCAGTGAGGGACGGTGGTGCCTCTCCCTTCCCCGGCTGAGCTCGGCAGAGCTGGTGTGTGTTGAGGCAGCTTCTTCTCAGCCTCATCTGCTAGGCATCCCTAGGAGAGGCAGTTGGGCCACCTTAGCTGCTGGGCACACCCTACGTGGCCTTGAACGTCCCCCCAGAGAGGACAGTGAGCCAGCGTTTGGGGCCCTGGGATACGTGTGCATGTGTGTGGGTTTCCCGTGTCTTGAGATAGGCCTTCTGGCAGCTTGGTCCTGGGGGAGTGTCTGTATCTGTTAGGCCCGGGACCTGGGAGCACCCCCTTACCTCATGGCTCATGAGAACTGAGTAAACGCTGGAGGACGGCCTGGCCAGCTGCAGCCACTGCGCCCTGGACGCCCCGTGGAGTTTTCTGGGGGCACTGCTGTCGTGCTCTTACAGGTTTCCTTCCTGTCTTCTACAGGCCTTACTTTGAACTCAAGGCGAGGTACTACATGCAGCTTGAGGTACGTGTGGCCTCTGGCTTTGAAGCAGATCGGAGTTTTCTGCCCTCAGAGCTCCCCTTTCTGTAGTGGGCTTTCAAATGGCCCCATGGCTGCCAGTGAGGGGGGCACATTCTTGACCAAGTCTTCAGCCTTCAGAGTGGACTTGCTGTGTCCTTAGTGCTCTCTGCCGCCCTCTGAATCTGCTTCAGTCACTTTCCATATTGTACTCGGTTAGTGGTTCTCAGCAGGGCCCGGGAGCTTGCTGGCAGTGCAGATTCCCAGGCCCACCCCAGACTGACTGAACAGAGGCTCTGCAGGCGGGTCCCAGCCATCTGGGCTTTAACACACCCTCCAGGGGGTCCTGATGCACCTCAAGTGTGAGGACCACAGCTCCCGGATCAGATGGCTGGAGTGTGGGACTTCTGTGGGACCTTGACTCCCCACTGCTGCTTCCCTGATGGGCTTATTCCCAGTGGTTGCTCCTGGGTATAGAGCTTAAGTTGTCACCTGGCTGGGAGTTGTGGGGTGGTGGCTGCTCTCATATCTGCTGCGTGGAGAGCTGTGGAAGGGGATCAGGGCCCCAGTCGTGTCTTGAGAGTAGAGTGATGGGCGCAAATGTTTGAACCCGTCACTCAAGAGCATCGCCAGGCCGGCGGGGGTGGCCTCACTCACAGAGCCTCCTGTTCTCCCGAGCAGCAGCTGAAGAAGACGGTGGACGAACTGCAGGCCAAGCTGGCCCTGGCGAAGGGCGAGTACAAGACGGCCCTGAGGAACCTGGAGACGATTTCGGACGAGATCCACGAGCGGCGGCGCTCCAGCGCCATGGGGCCCCGTGGGTGCGGTGTCGGGGCCGAGGGGGGCAGCCCGGCTGCCGAGGACCTGTCAGGGCGCAAGCCCGAGCCTGACGCTGTTTCTGGTGAGTCAGGGGCACGTGTGCAGCTAGTGCGACCTGCTTCCTGGGGCCTCCCCCGTTGGTGGGACACTGTGTTCACCAAGATGCTACTGAGCATCCTCAGAGTCAGGTTTCTGTGGTTAGATATGTTTGGGAAATGTTACACTTTCACCCCTGACATTCCAAGTACATGTTAGGGCATTGAAGGCTCTGAGAAGTCCTGCAGGGAAGAGTCGTCTGGAATAGGGACTTGGGAATCAGATTTGATTCAAGTCCTGACCTTCCCACTATGACTAGTACATGACATGGGCCAGGGTGTAACTTCCTGTCTGTTTCTTCCCCTGTAAAGCGGGGGGCACATGAAGGTCCCTGTCGTCCACTACGGAGAGCGGTCGTCAGGATTAAATGAAGGAGCGCCGGCCTCCAGTGGTCACTGCACATGTGTCTGTCCTTGGGGACCTGTTTTCCAAGGACCACCCCTGGGAAATGGATACAGAGGGTTGTGGTGGCTCCCTCTATGTCAGTCCAGAAACCGCCCCCCC